CAAGCTCCTTCAAACAACAAAAGCCAGTCATCCGCGTCCATTAAAATGAGATGAAATGGACCAAAATGCTATCTGTATCCCTCTATGGGGACCTGACTGGTGATTAATTTGTTGACTTAGAACTTATTTTCATTGGTGAAATACTCTTTTAAGTCTCATCTGAAAGCAAATCACATACGGTCAAGGCCCCAGGGAGACAAAAGTGGTCATGTAACCCTACCGACACGTAATAGGACGGTGAAAAAGCAGGAGCTGCATTTTGAAGAAAACCAAGGACGTTTCCAGTGGAAAACCACGATGCCACTATCCGATCACTGGACGGCTAGATTGAAGTTTCGCAAAAGATTCATATATGAATACGATCGAGATAATTGGCAATGTGTGTTGTGGTGGGAATAATATTGGAAACTCTGAAAGTGATAGATGATGCTTTATTCACATTAAAGAAAAAGCTATATTTGCTTTTCAATATTATGGTAGAAACGTCTAATAGTTAGCTTTCCTCTTACGAACTCATGCTAGCAACTTTCACATTTAAATTTTCTCGCTCTATCTTTTTTATTTTGTTTCTCATTCCGCAACTTTGTAAATTAGCATGATTTAATTAAACTTTTTTATTTTTAAGGTCACTCTTTAAACATAGGGGTGTGATATTTACACTCATTTTTACTTCTTCCACATATTTTTAGTTTTCAGTCATCGGATCGAATGAATTGAATAACATCAATGAACATAAATTAACAAAGGGTGTGTAAGAAGTAAAAATTGGTGTGTGGATAGCATACCCTTAAACATAAAGTATTAGACAAATCCGAAACCGTGTAGTAATAAACAAATCATGTTATTCGATAGACATTGAAATTTTGTCCAACTTTAATTAGTAGTTAAATTATTACTCATGTCATCATATGATAAATATCAGTTAAAATTTTCATATACACTATTTGTCTCATGATCTATAATATAAGAAACATATAGAATTTTCTACCTAGAAAATACTTAGAAGCGGCCCCTGTTTATATATACGTGTGTGGCCTTTGTCGAATTTTCATCGTCTAGAGAGATTTAACAAACGCAAACTTATGACACACTTTTTGAAATTCACATAACGTCGCTTTAATGAAACTAGCGTCGATTAAAACCAACGCCAACTTCTGACATACTTTTTGAAATTCACATAGCGTTGCTTTAATGAAACTCGCGTCGCTTTAATGAAACTAGCGTCGGTTAAAATCGATGCCAACTTCTGACATACTTTTTGAAATTCACATAGCATCACTTTAATGAAAAATCACGATTTAACGACTATTTTAATTCCGATTTTGATGAATTTTTACAGTTACACTCCTTGATCCTATATGAATACAATGAACTAATTTGATCGTCAATTTAAAATATTTACAGAAGTGGATACTACAAAATCTTATGTTATAGTTAATGAAAGTGTAAATAAACTTTAAGTGTTAGTGAATCTATCATTTTGATGAGATACATATCCTTCGAGATCGCATATTCCAAAAATCGCAAAAAATAAACATTCAGAGATCAAGTAACGGGATAAAACTTTTCGACATTTATCAACGAAAAATCACGATTGAACGGTGATTTTAACTTCGATTTTGATGATTTTTTACAGCTACACTCCTTGATCCTATATGAATACAATGAATGAATTCGATCTTTAATTTAAAATATTTACACTAGTGGATACCACAAAATCTTATATTATATTTAATGAAGTATAAATAAATTATAAGTGTTAGTGAATCTATCGTTTTGATGGGATATGCATTATACGAAACTAATTTCAACGATCTAACCATCAAACTTGTTTATATATGCTTCCAGATCTCATACGCCAAAAATGGAAAAAAACAAACATTTAGAGATTAAGTAACGGGACAAAACTTTTCGACGGTTATAAACGAAAAATCACGATTTAACGGTTATTTTAACTCTGATTTAGATGAGTTTTTACAGCTACACTCCTTGACCCTATATGAATACAATGAATGAATCCGATCTTCAATTTAAAATATTTACACGTAGATACCACAAAATCTTATGTTATATTTAATGAAAGTATAAATAAATTCTAAGTGTTAGTGAATCTATCATTTTGACATAGATATTTAAAAAAAACTAAAATCTATGTCGCTCAGAACCGACGCAGGCTATAAAATATTTAAGCACAATACTTTATGTCGCTTAAAAGCGACACTGTTTTGTTTAAAGCGATGCCAGTATTTAAAAAATATTAAAATATATGTCGGTTATAAGCGACATTAAATGTTTACGTCGGTTTAAAAGCGACGTAGACATTTTATGACGCTTATAAGCGACAGTAAATCCAACGTGATGTTCAGTTAGTGTCATAACTGTCTTGTCTGCCACTGTATTATATTAAATCGACACCATCTATGAACACTGTAAGGCCTTTTTGTAGTAGTGAGAGCAAGGAAAAAGTGGATGGAGCAATGCCAAAGCACCAGATATATACAACAACGCCTACGTGTACTCCACTCACATCCCAATCCAATATTCCACCTTTTGCTTTCTCCTTGCCTTTGCTAGTGAGTGGCTACTTTTCTTCTTCTTAATTTTCTTCTTAATTGGGGTTTAATCCTTCCAGATAACTTATTAATTAGTACCGTGTGCTTATAATGCTCTTAATATTTTCATTTCTATGTAAAAAAAAATTCAATGTATTAGAAATATAATCTAAAACAACAAGTGTTATATTATATTGAAAACCGATTGTTGTATAGACCACTTGTTAAGTCATAGGGTTGTAATCATCACTCTAGCTTGTAAGCATCACTCTAGCTAATAGGTTGCAATCATCACACTAGCTAATAGGTTGTAATCATCACCACTTTACTTTCCTTGTTTTTCTCTTCCGTGTTTTCCTATTCTTTGTTTCCACATGTAATCATCAT